CTCCTCCCCAACTTTGGAGCAGCAGCGACCGTAAAAACAAACAAACAGCTAAAGCATCCCCACGATATTTAAGCATTACAATGATGTGTTATAATTGCTGTTTACACAGAGTTTTGGGTTTCACACCTGATCGGTTTCCTTAACCGTACCCCTCCACAGCTTTATACATCTAAGTGACAATAGTGTATTATATAGGCAGGTGTGTGCATATATGTGTCATATTCTCACTCAAATTTAGGATTTTGCAGTATCATCACACGGATCTTTTATTAAAGACAATGAAATGTATGCCTGAAAAGAGGTCGTTGTAAATGTATGTGCCAGAGCAATAGATGGGTTAGACATAAATAATGCATATTGTTAATGAAATGATAATTCTTCAACTGTCAAAGAGAGTTCCCTCTTGCTTCCCCTCCCATTCATCAGCTCTCCCTCCAGCATGCGTTACCGCTCACTAAAGTGTACAGTGCTCCTCCATTACCCTCTGCTCGCTAATCCACTGGCTGGAGAGATAGTCATCGAAACATCTCATCAGGCCCGGCCCGCAAACATTTACAGCTGTCTCTCTCCCTCTGTCTCTCTCCCTCTGTCGCTCTCTCTCATGTTTTCTCAAAAGGTTAAAACCCCCTGTCTTCATAAGGTCATGATGGGTCAGAGTGCTAAAACATGAACCCAAAAGAAGGCAACTACATGTTACTGACATGTTGCTGTAGAAATGAGTGCCTCCTCAATGTAACGGTGAAAACACTAACACTTGGCTCTGTTCTGCTGGTGTGTGTGTGTGTGTGTGTGTGTGAGTAAGATGTTACAGGCCTCAGATGCATGATTAGTGTGATGTAATGAGGAGCAATCAGGCAGGAAGGGAAGAAGTCCATCAGCATTACAGATGATCACTCGTAAACCATCATCACAACAGGCCAGTGACACGCAGCCTCACATCTCTAATCTCTGCCCTCCGACAGCCAAAGCATCGGTTAATATGTCCTAATCTCCACATGTTATGTACTTAATTGCAAACACACACACAGTGACCCTGGAGTGTGCGTGTCACAGGTCATGCCCAGAATCCTACGAATCTAATCCAGCAGTACTGAACTTGTTCTGACTTGTTGAATATGAGCGCGTGTTTGCGGCAGCTACTTCATACACAAAATACCACAGCAACTGTGCTGCTTGGGGAGAACCTAACCTTCGTAATATAATATGAGCCCCAGTCATTTGTACTGATCCTTCAAATCGGTAGCAGAAGGCTCACTGCAATCATTCAATCATGTTAAAGCATGACCTCTGACCCCCTGCACGCCACATTGGCAGATCTTGGCTGTAGGCCCTGATAGATGGAGGAGCCCAGAATAGCTAAACCTCAGTCACATTCTCTGTATGCTGCAGTAGTACATTCAAAGATACTACTGAGCATGCTGCAGGAGTGTTTGTGGAGGAATCAACAGCTGCATCAAAAGCTAGACTAGCTGCAGGAGTTTAAAACAAAACAGAGGATGGGTCTACTTTTTCTCCTCGAGATGAGACACATAAAGTCAATCACCACAAATTTCAGCATACAGTCACACACGTACCTGTGAGGACCCTTATTGACATAATGCAGTCTAGCCCCTAATCTTTACACAACTAAATGACTAACACCAACCTTCACCCTGACCTAGACCTTAAAACCAGATGCACTGCAGCTCATAAAGACAGCAGGATTTGAGAAGGCATGAATATTGCAATTGGCTGGTGACTCGTGTTAATTTCTTGGCATGATGTAAGGTCTGCAAAAGGATTAGGTAATGTTGTGTTATTACGGAAACCTTCATTATTGTTATTTACAAGTGCTATTCTGTAATAGTGTTGCATTTCATATTATATTTCTACGACAGACCACAGAGAAGCATCACTCTTTTACTGCTGTGTTGCCCTACTTTTTCATACCTCTGTAGGGTTCTATCAGCTGTGCACAGCTCCTCCTACCAGTTATAGTCCACTACCATCCATTGACATTTTGCTTCCAATGATTTCTCTGTGTGCTGACTCCACTAACAGGCGCAGGGACTGAAAGTGAAAAGTGGAATACTCCGTGTTGACCTATTTACCCACCCACTCCAATAAGTTGAGTCACGTCTCCTGTCGCGTCATTTCCAGCTTAGTCGATCTGTTCCACGTTGGGGCTTTTAAGTACACACACACACACACACACACATTCTGATCCCCCTGTAATATTCATTTGACATTTTAGTGAAGTGCCAGAGATGGAGAACCCATTTATTGCTGACTGTGTGAAGAACTATATTCTCATCCCTGCAGCTTCCCTGTCTCTCGATTTTGCAGTCATGGGAATGAACCCCAAATACTTCCCTCTAGGAAATGCATCAGTGGCAGGGGAAATAAAGAGTGTGTTGCCGGACTAAATGAGCTTCATTAATGTTCACACGCAGCTCACTGCACTGCACATTTGACCTCGTTGCATAATATCCACATCTATTCTCGAGGCCAGACGAGAGACGTAATGGGGTTATTTTGAGGACAGGGATCCGGTTAATGGGCAAGATCAGGGTTCTATTGAAATACTTGGATGAAAGATATGATAAACATCTTGACAGGGGTAAGTGAGGCCAAATGTTTTTCATCTAAATTAAAGGGACAGTTCACCACAAAATCAAGAGCATATTTTTTCTTCTTTCCAACGATTTAGTCCTCTGGAACTATTTAGTTTCTACATGAAGCTGCTCACAACAAGGTCTGTGGATTTTCTTGAGAAACCGGGTCATAATTTATTGGAAGGAGACATTGTTGTTGTTTTTTATATTATTTGGGACTTTGAGCACCACAAGCCGAATGCCTTAAACCCATTATATTCGAGATACGGCAGACATCTCTACGGCCGATACCTCCGAAACGCTGCAACTCACACAAAAACAATATAGATTGATAAATAGCACTACAGGAAAGAGGAAAAATATGTATTTCTGATTCTGGGGTGCACTGCCCCTTTAAGACCTTGCATACTCACCATTTATAAAGCAAGACAGCAAGACAGCATGTCAGCTTCAGTTTTACTTTCAAGAGTAGCATAGTTTTAGCTTTTTATCATCCTCGCTAAAAAAGCGTCCATCAACTAAGACAACAATGTGTCCCAAGTTAGAAACTCTTAAAAAAGAAGCGAGCGTGACCTCGTGCGCGTCTCAGAGTGTTCCTTTGTGTCTATGTCGGTAAGCAGACAGTTTAAGCCAGCTGGTGTCGGAGATGATGCCTTTAATCTCGCTCCATCCCCTTCCTTGATGTGTCATACTGGAGAGGATATGTAGGACAACATCACTTCACTTACTGTATTCTGGGACTGAGACTGCTCTTGCTAGACAGGGTATAATTAGAGGAGTTATTAATACAAACTTTCAGAGAGTCTGAGCTGCTTTATTTTGGCTGCAGCTCACTTCCTTGATTTCTCTTTGATACCAGATGTCCCTCTTCACTGTGGTGAGAGCCCATCTCCTGTGTATGTGTGTGTGTGTGTGTGTGTGTGTGTTCGGGTTAGTTAGAGGAGGGATAACTTAAAAGAGAATAAAAGTGATGTGGTTGTTTATGGTCTCTCTGCAGCTTTCCCACCGTGATGGATATTGCCAAAGGGCTGCTTCCATCGAGACACCGTCTATGATTCAAACATGTTACTGCTCAATCATCCATTTTTTGGCATGGGAGCATCTCTTGCACTTGATTTCCTCCTCCGGCTACCTCCTGTTGTGATGCTGGCAATGATGGACAGTGGATGTTGTTCCGATAACAGGCATTTAGAGATTCCTATTAGATTTGCCGGGCTGGCTGCCTGTGGGTGTGTGTCTACTATGCATGTATGTGTGCTAGTTGAATTATCTATACACAAGTGCATGTGTGCATACATCCTGCTGCATGATCTTATCTGCTAATCACTCTGCCTCAGCTAGCCGATGTAAAAGTAATGTAGCATTAGACACTGTGTGCTGTGGCGAACCAGAAAAAGGCAACATGTACTAAATGAAATTACCGTAAGCCTGGAATTTGCTCTGAACTCTGCCTTTTGTGCTTTTTCAGTCTTGATTATGGAATCAACCTCACAATGTTCTGCAAGAACCCGCTGCTGTTTAAAGTAAATGTATCTCCACACACAGCAATCAGTCACAGGGACTATCAGCCACCCTCCTCCGGCTTACGACAACATCGGCTATGATTCACCCACAATCCCCCAGGGGACCTGAGAACTGCAGGGTCATGAGATCGGTAGACACGTCCACACACAAGTGCACGCACGGCACGCACACACAGATATTACATTTAAATTTCCATTAGTGGCCCAAACAAAAGCACATCGCTTGCTGACATCATCTCATTGAATAAACCTTCTTTTTCATATTCCTGCTAAGAAGACAAGCCAGACTTTGTTATTATCAGAAAGAATCAGCTTCAGGCTCTTTGGCCTGGAGGTTTTTTTTAGTAAAGTATTGTGAACAGTCCACATCTTTTTTTAAAATTTTGATAGCAAATGAAGGGTCAGCTGGGTATGGAGTATCAGAGAAACAGGGAGCCTCTGTTGCTTGTAGCTTTACAGTCTTG